GCATCAATAAAATATTGCATGAACATTTGAGCGTAAAAAAAATTTGTTCGCGTTGGATCCCGCATAATCTGACAAACGCTCAAAAAAAGGCTCGTGTCGATTGGTGCAAGGAAATGTTGGAAAAATACGTTCAAGGTACATCAAAGGCTGTGTATAACATCTACACAGGTGACGAATCATGGATCTATGCATATGAGCCGGAAACAAAACAGCAATCAACTGTATGGGTCTTCCAAGACGAGGCAAAACCAACAAAAGTTGTTCGAGGAAGAAGCACATCGAAACAAATGATTGCCTGTTTCTTCGGCATTAACGGTCATGTGGCAACAGTGGCGTTAGAGCAACGCAGGACGGTCAATTCTGAATGGTACACGACCATTTGTTTGCCAGAAGTCATCGGAGAAATTCGAAAAAAGCAGAAGAACAGGCGAATCATTCTTCATCATGACAATGCGAGCTCTCACACATCGACTCAAACAAAGGCATTTCTGACGGAGCGAAAGATCGAACTGATGGGTCATCCGCCGTACAGCCCTGATTTGGCACCCAATGACTTCTTCTTATTCCCACACATCAAAAATAAATTACGTGGACAACGATTTTCGACCCCCGAAGAAGCGGTTGATGCATTCAAAACGCATGTTTTGGAGTTACCTCAATCGGACTGGTAAAAGTGCTTTGAAAATTGGCTCAAAAGCGTGCAAAAGTGTATTGATCATCATGGACAATATTTTGAAAAACAATAAAACCAATTTCGATCCTGCATGTTAGTTTTTTCATTATTAGGCCAGAAATATAAATAGCAACCCTCGTATTGTATGAAAAAATACTGATGGAAAAAATTATAAGCTCTCCCTACTCAAAAAAATACCATAACTATATGTTCCGCAATTACCACTCTTAATACACGTTTTTAACAACTTATCATAGATAAAAATACAGTGAGAGTCTCAAATTAAAATTTATCCGAATAAAAAACAGAATCGGTGTCGAAAGCGAACATAATAAACAACAGATAACGGTTCTAACTCCAAATATATATCATTTTAGACTTTCAAAAATTAAGTCAAAAGATTATACATATTAAGGGACGCAAATTTATGTATTTAAGCAAGGAAAAAATTCCACACTCAAAATCAAATGAATTACTTCAATGGTAGCCGGGATGAAAGACCAAAAAAATACCAGTTTGATAACAGGATAATAAATAATCTTTCAACTCCTGTTTTATTTTCAAGCAATCAATCATGATTTAATTTTTCTAGTTCTAAAATTCGATTTATTTCGATAATGTTCCGCTTTTTTTACCTTGCTGAAATATTAATTTAAAAAATCTATTTTATATGCTCTTTATCGGAGAATAATTCTGATATAAATTAAGGGTAGTGATTATATAACATCTTCTATGTGATTTCCTAATTTTATAATAGGGATGGGCTTTCGAAAGCGCATTCAACTATGTATAAATTAAAAACTATTCCTTCCATTTTTTCAAAACAAATTAACTGGAAAATAAAAGCTGTATTAAATATCTCTCTTATATTACTTTTAATGACTACTCAAACTTTTTTGAACATTTTATAAAAAAATATCTATAAATATTTTTCTAACAAAAAAATTCACGGTTCGTACATTAATATTAGCTTTAAAGAAAATATTATTTTTAAAATATTCATCTTGAGCTAAGAAGTCATAAATGGGAACTGAAGCCTGGGTAGTATTAAGTATCATTAAAGAATCTTATTTTTTCCGATGTATGGATTTATAGTAAAATAAAATGACAGAAATATAGGTGAATAAAAAAAGACATCAAAGCTACTTTTTATCTTCCTGAAAAAAAGCTAACTCTTCAAAAAAAAAGGAAAGCTAGATTTTTCTAGAAGATTTTATTTAACTTGACGTTTAAAGAGCTCCAGTGTTTATAACATGAATGAAAATCTTTTAACTTTCATTTTTGATCTAAAAGAAACTTTGTCAGATTTTGAAAACACTTTCAAGTTTTAGAAACTACGCTGAATAAGCAAAATATTGAAAAGAATAATGTTTAATCCGGATGAAAAATATATTTTATTTTGGATACATTCCAAATACTCAATAATTTTACGATTGCTTGAAACATATTTTTAAATCTGTATTTATGTTATTAAAGTAGATCTTATTTTTCTTTAAAAAAATAAATTTTTTAAGAGACACAATTATGTAATTGATATAAAATGCAAAATAGTTCCATGTGATAAACAAACTACCATTTCGTTAATTAATAGAATGTAAGAGGAAGGCAGAAAAAAACTTAACTTAAAATATAAAATAAAATATAAAAACTTTAAATATAGTATTCGTAAATCATTAAAATATTTATTTTTTTAAGTAATTACACACAATATTTCAAAAAATAACATACATTTATATTCATCAAAGGAATTTGATTTTATTTAATGAAAAACATTAAAAAAAAACTAATAATACAATGTTGTAAACTTGATAAAATATAATCCCGATAGATCTGGTTGTGTAAATTGATAGATGACTATCAAGATTTGGAGCAATTCAAAAAGTATCAATATTACTTACCCAATCGTTTCTGATGTTTTCTTTACTCTATAGTATTGAATTATAAGGCTTTGAAAATTATGAAAACCTTCCACGGTTAGCCCGAGGGCAATGGAACTTTAACCTGTGATCCGTGCCACGGGAATAAGCAATACTATTACTGAAGTTACTTTGGGCCGTGGATCAAGCAGCAATTAGAAAGAATTAAATAGTCTAAATATAATGTTATTCTAAAATTGTTTTTATTTTTCATAATTCTTTTTAGCTATATAATTCTTTATAGCTAATGCAAAGTTGGCTAGTTTGTTTCACATTATCTCAATCACATCCCGTAGAATAATTCGAAGTTTCAGCGAGGAGTTAAGGAAGCTCTTACTATTCTTAATTATAGATTCATTACTATTTACTTTTTCTTCAGAAATGTGTAGATTCAAGTAAGAAATATTTTGATTTTCCTCCTTTTAACAAAAAGATGCTTAAGCTGGGTTTTTCGGAAAAAGTAAGTAGTTGTATTTAAATAGGTTGAACTTTTAATTTCTATTTTAAATGCATATTTCTAGTTTTAAGAGCATATATTCAAGCATTTTAGTGCATATTTGCATGCATATTTTGTCCGTTTTTAGTGCATATAATCCGCTGTCTAGTGATCAGATATCTAAACCATGTGCGTTGGGAGCGTCTTCGAAAACTTTTACTATTCGAAAACACCTATATATTTATGTAAAATATTAATATATAAGTGCAACAATGGTTTATTTTTTTAATTGATAAATAATAACAGGTTTGGAAACATTTTCATCTGACTTGATTTCATTAAAAAGCAGTTTTGACATATTTTATGATATTCTGCATTTTAAGATATGTGAAATAAATGAGTGCATGATTAATAAAATTTGTTAATTGTTTGATGAAATTATTTTCAGACGAGAAGAGAGTTTTTATTTTAGCGTAGAGTTTTCTTTCTTCTTTTGTTTTAACTGAAATTGAAAATTGTCTTAAAAAAAAAAACAAGAGCTTTTCTAATTTTTCTTTTAATTTACTGTTTCTAAAAAAGATTAGAAGTTTTTGGATAAATTCGAGGGCATTTGTGAACACATGTTAAGATTTAAGTACATTATCTGTTTCATTCCGAGTTTGAACATTCGGAGTTTGAAGCACAACTGCTTACAAATTTTAGAATAATAAAATTACAGCTACTGCAATTCAAAGGCTTTCCTCAAGAGTTTGAGGTATCTGGTCACCTTAGACATACCGTAATACCAGAATCAAGACCTCAAGAGTTTGAGGTATCTGGTCACCTTAGACATACCGTAATACCAGAATCAAGACCTCAAACTTATTCTGTCGTATGTTATTTTCATATAATATTTCGAAGATATATGAGAACATGTTAAGATTTGCGAACATTTTCTGTCTTCAAATAATTTGAAAGTTTTTGAGGACAACTTCTGAAATTCGGGAGCTCTACTCAAGATTTGAGGCCGTCTGCACTGTTAGAATTTTCGTTTTAAAATTATGGTAAAAAAACCGGCAGCAGTCTGTTCATCCAATTAACCATTAAGTTTACTTGCAAAGAACATTTTTTATGTTTACGGTTTTGAAATCATTTACAACTAGCATGGTTTCAAAACCATAAAAAAGAAATTTAACTGGAAGTAGTTTAGCAGCTTTATAGTGCTGCCATCTATGAGTAAATGAGGGTATCGTACTCAAATAGACCAGAGTCACAAATTGGGGAGTGAAAGACACTTCTACTAGTCTTTACACAATAAATGTCACCATTATTGNAACTTTCCGTGAAGCGGGATATTTATTTACAGTGGATTCCGTCCCACGTTGGTCTGTACGGGAATGAGATCGCTGACTCGCTGGCTAAACTTGGCACAAATGAACCTCTGCTGGAAAGTTTGGCACTCACATCCTCGGAAATTCACTCCATTAGAAAGCAAGGTGTCCAGCTAGTCTGGAATACTCCCCCAGTACATATCTGGTACTCTGGGGATAAGCCGGGTCGTGCTTTGACCTTCAGCGGTAATAGAGGCGATCAGACCGCATTCACTAGATTTATCAGTGGTCACATAAAGTGCATGAGGTATGAACAACAGCGAAAGATCTATCCCACCTGCAACAAGCGTTCCTCCAGTGCAGCCAGCCCGGCCCACCTCCTTGGCTGCGTGGACTTTAAAAAGTAGGATTTTCTGCGTGACCCGGTCTTGTTTTTTGACTTCCTGAGGGTGAATGGACTCATGGACCTGGTCTAGCTCCGCTAGACCAGTGGGGATGAGAAACAACAACAACACCGAAAAATTTCTAACAGTGTGGTCACCTTAGTCTTACTCTCAAGTCAAGAATCGATGTTTATTGGAATATGCTATTTTTAATCTAAGCCCTCAAACTTATTATAGAATACAATTGTTGATTTTCTTAAATGTTACATTTCTTTGTAACAGGTGGATTTACGGCACAAGGATGAAGTGGAGGGAACAAACAGAGTCGACATTGGAATCGACCTGAGCGAGTTCTACTTGAGCGTCGAGTGGGACATACTGGACGTTCCCGCCATCCGCAACGAAAAGTTCTACACGTGTTGCGAGGAGCCGTACATCGACATCACCTTCAACATCAGTATGCGCCGAAAGACCTTATTCTACACGGTCAACCTCATTATTCCGTGCATGGGCATATCCTTCCTGACCGTCCTCGTATTCTATCTGCCCTCTGATTCGGGCGAGAAGGTCTCTTTGTCCATCTCGATCCTGTTGTCACTCACCGTCTTTTTCCTGTTGTTGGCTGAGATCATACCGCCCACCTCCCTGGTGGTGCCTCTTCTTGGCAAGTACTTACTCTTCACCATGATACTCGTCACCCTTTCCATCTGCGTCACCGTGGTCGTCCTCAACGTCCACTTCAGGTACAGTATCATTCAACTTTTAAGCTGTTTTTAAGAGCATTCAGCACACAAAGTGAGAGCTCTTTAAATTCCAGTAAAAACTTTTTTTTGATTAATGGCGGGCACTTGGGTTCATTTCCCATTGGCCTCAGAAATGCCAGAATTGCTACTCTCTTCTCGTTAGCCAGTGAGCACCTATGGCCAAGCAGCGTTGCCCACGTCACACAACCACAAACCCGTTTACAGGGAGGGTCACATACACAATCACACAGAAGAAAGGACATAGAACACACAGAGAGAGAAAGAAACATTCATGCCCTGAGTGGGATTCGAACCCGCAACCTTTGGCTCCGCAGTCAGGTACGCTACCCACTTGGCCACCTGGTCGGCTTCCAGCAAAATCTAATTGTAAGCTTTACCTAATGTATAGCTAAAAAGAAATATCTGAACTCTAAAACGAACAAGCAGCTTCAATATTTAAAAGTAATTAATGTTTTGTTTTTTTAATCTCAAACTAAGCGTGATTTTTCAACCTTTATAGAAATCACCAGAATCAAATAAGAATTCTCAAAATATTTGCTTAATAATTTAGCATTGGAGTAACCTAGAAGTCAGTAAGAAATTATATCGCAGACCGTTAGAGAATAGTCAGAGAATTAAACTGCAGTCCGTAGAGACCGGGGTTCAATCCTCGACTTCATTAAGACCCGCCTAGTACATACGATGTATATGATCGTTAAATCTGTACAATAAAAAGTCCTGTGTTCGGTTGCTAAGCAGTACTATGGGTGAAGAGATCTGGAGAAGCTTTCCTTCCTCTCCTTATCTATGTCTAAATTGAGAAAGTGGCCTCATGAATCAATGCTGCTGCCATCTATCTGTGGGTTTCTATGCCTTAATGTACTTTCACCCTTGTAGTGCTCCCTCGTCAAACGAAAAGTGCACCTTCCTGACTTAATTCGCAAACTTCTAATAGCTGGCAAGCTTGGCTAATTTGGCTTGGTTTTAGCAGTCTAAATGACTTCCTTGGGCAATCTAGTGTTAGGAAAAATTCCTTGAAAATATTTTTTCCATGCTAACGTGGAAATTAATTTAAAACATTTTCCAGTAGCGTTGGTAGCAATTTTTGATTTTCTTTAGGATGTGTCAAATCTGGTATGCCTATGCTATGCAATTTTTTGAGCTTTTTTCACTTTCTTTAGACTTTCTGTCACTCAATAATCATACATTTTAATTCATATTTTTTATAATAAAGTGTGAAAAATATAGAAACAATAAATATGCTTCCTTAAAAAAACTCAATTTCTGCTGTATCACTATAAAACCTGGCATTATTTTCATTGTAACTAGTTTAAAGCTGTTAAAAGGAATGAAAAATGGGAAGAAAGAAAATGGAATGGAGAGTTAGAAAATAACACCCTTAAACTGTTAGATTCGGTGTCTACCGAGACTTAAGAAAATCGAGGCTCCATTAATCAAAAGACGAAGAAATCAATTCCGACTGTTTGTTTTCAAACAATTCTTGGAAACTCAAACTCTGTACTAGAAAACAGGTGGTGTGAGAAAAAAATACTTAAATAAATCCTACTTCTTGTTTTATGTTAAAAAGAAGGAAAAAAACTCTAGCTTGAAATGGATTTTTCGGATGTTGTTACAATGTCGTCTAATTTTTCCGTTGTTTATAAAAACAGATCCAGTGAAAATCCTTTCTAACTATGTTGCGAAGATTGAAGCTCTGAGAAAATTGTTATTCAGGAAAAAAAGTCTCTGTATTATTTTAGTTTAAATATTTTTCAAAAATATAAACGGTGATACGTAATGACCACCCTTAACACAATATATTTAAAAAATGCTTCGTCCCCATTTAGCTTCATACCCATTATTTTCTTTGGTGATAACAGATTCCTATATCAAAAAAGCCAAGAACATTCACATCGTTGTCTCTAATGCTGCTTGGGCAAATCAAGCTTGCTAGCTATTGGTCTATAGCGACTTCAGGACTTTCGTTTGACAAGAGAGCACCGCAAGGGTGAAGATAATTATTTGCTCAGAACCTCACGGATAAATGTCAGCACCACTCTTTCGTAAGGCTACTTCCTCAATTTAGACATAGATCTAATAGGGAGGGAAATATTTTGCAGATATCTGTACCTATGGTACTTCTCAGTGACCAGCCGCATGACTTTCGATTCCACAGATTCTATGAGCACATATGTACTCGTTGAATCTTATCAAAATTGATTCCCTGAACCGGAGTTCCATTCTCTTACCACTAGGCTACCTCGGCCCTTTCCAAAAACTTTTATTACATTAACTCGAATTTAGTTTCGATATGTTGAAAATAAAATTTGAACCTGATAATTTTGTGCTTACATTCCAACTTCGTTCAAAATATTTTGCATAAAAATAAATTAACCCATAGACAATTGTACCAAATTTACAAATTCAAATCAAACTGAAATTCAAAACATTAACCATTTATATCTTGGAACAATGCAATTAAAAGACAAAACTTAGGAATTTTCTATATTCTGTTCCAATGCAATCCATTTCCAAGTCATTAATTGTATTCTTTTCAAATACTGAAGTGGCAGGAATTTGCCCTTTGGCTCCCTTGCTAAAGGTCGAGATCTCAATTTGCAGAACAGATGAAAATTCCTTAGTAGTAACTAAAGCTACATCTTTTGTCACACTAATTTGTCGACTCATATCGAAAGTTCAGTCTTACGATGAAAATGCCAAGTCTCAGTTTCCTATTCGCCTTTATTAAAACTGTTAATTATAAGATATCATTAATGAAACCGATAATTGTAATCATTTTCTCAAGAGCACTTTAAAAGTAATTTGAAACGAAGTAACTACTCTCTTTGTATCGAGCAATTATGGAGTATCGATTTGGAAAGAATAATTATTATTCGATACTCCTGAGTCAAGAATTAAATCCCTTTTGGAACTCGTAATCATCTTTTGAGCTTAACTCCATGCTGAGGTCATGAAAATAAGTTTATTAAACGGAAAGAGTTCAGGCATTATCGATAGCTTGATTTTTAGTTGACAACAAGTGCTCATTGTTGTACTTAAGAAAAAGTTGTTTTAAACAGCAAAATTGTTACACGTGTGATGTTAAAATGTGTCATATTTCATGGGTATTTTCAAAAAGTAACAAACACATACAAGCCATTAATTCTATCTAGCAATAAGTTTACTTTTTTAAAAAATTAAAGAAAACGTTCTAAAAAAAACGATCTTCAAATAATATTTTTTTTAAATATATTTGTTTTTTAGAGTAAGAAATTTTGTTTTGTTCCTTTTAGTGTGATGCGCATTTGATCTTGAGATATTCTGTAGTTGATATTTGTTTACTTTTAAAATTTATTTAGTTTCATTTTCTGTCAAAAAGAAATAAAATCAATATTCTAAGATAGAGGAGGATTAAAAGAAATGTTTTTGGCAATCGATTTTTTCCGAAAAGTGGGTCATTTTGCAAAATCTAAAGTGAAACATCTGACTCAAATTGAGTATGTTCAAGTATATTTTCGTGTTACGTAATATGCCAAGTACTTTTTCGTGTTACGCTCGTCAAATTCGGAAATAGGCGTTAAGAACTCCTGTGGGATATTTTTAATTACATAAAAAGTACATTTTTGTCTCTTTATGATTACTAACTCAGATGCCAAAAGTAAAATTTGTGTACAGAGGTACAATACGCAATAATTTGAAGATTGTAATTGTCAATTTAGAATTTTTTATAGATTTTTATTCGATTTAAATCTACAGATAGTATTATTAAACATATAAATATGTTCATTTTATTATGGATTATTTTGATAATATAAGAAGTTTGAATATCTAGTGTAACACCTGTGCATGCCAATAAAGTATTCTAGTACATAAAATAAAGGATGATATTCAAGTAAAATCCCTTAATTGGGTTGTTCAGAAAGTAATTTCGTTTTTTCCCTGCAGAGGACTTTTCACAGCCAATTTCACACTGAAGTCGCATAATCATTATGTATTTTGACAGATGATATGGCAACACATGCTTGCGAGACGCTTCGATTGATTTTACGCAGTTGATTTGCCCTTTCAAATATGAAAAGTGAAAATCAGAATTTTCGGTGTATTTTACTATCGGAAATGGATAAATATTGTTCAAAGAAGAATTCGCGTGCAGGTCGTCGGGCTACCGAAGCGGGGGTACCATCCCCTCTGCAGAGGATCAAAATTGTGATACCATGTCTTCGGATCATCCTCAGGCATGTTACCCAGACCGTCGCCAATAGCCCATTGTGCAGCTCTAGTGCGACGTAAATGAACAACAACTACTACAAACAAGAAAAAAAATTATCCGAGGTGTATGGAGAAGATGTATTGAAAATGCACATTGCCAAAATTGGTTTGAAAAATTTCGAATCTTCGACAAAATTTCGATTAAGATGTACGAAAATACACCACGCCAGTTTAAGCTGATGAGGATACGATGTTGCTGTCGTTGGCCATTATGGCATAGGGAGTAAACGCCTTCCCTTTTCAAAAAACAAAACTACTATACAAAAATTTCAAAATATCTTTGTAGAGATAGAAAAATTAATCGATGCAGAGATAGAAAATATTATGAAGTATGATCCTTAATTTTCCTAAATCCCTGTTTTTGCAAAAATCTCTTTTATACAATAAATTCTTGAATAGAAAATTAGTTGTTATTTTCAGTGAATTTATGTAGTGTAAAAAGTTATTCGAAAAAATTTCATTTTTTTTATTTATTATTTTCTTAGTTTTAGACTGCCATATATTTAAAAAAAAACTATTATTTTCATATAAATCAAACAATGAATAAAAACATTTTCAACGCAATATTGAAATATTTTCTTCATACGAAATTTCTCATCGAATCTGAAATCATAACACATCAAGTAGCTTCACGGAACATATTTACTATATTTTCTCATTAATATTTTCTAAGAACTTGGCTTCTTGGCGAAAACAAGGGCTTTCTTTTTTTTTAAAAGAAATAAGAACAC